GTCAGTTTTAAGATTGTTTCATATTAACGAGACAGCGTTCTATAGATCAGAATTCCTTAATCAAATTGCCACTGTTTTGCTGTAAACAGTGTCCTTGGATTCAGTGTAGCTAGACAGATACAACTGACGATGAAGTTGATTTGTTATATTTTCTTGCTAGAAGTAAATCTTTACTAAATTGAGGCCGATGACAAGACATCTATTGCCATCAGTGGGGGCAGGATTTTGCCCTTCATAGCTGCCTCTGCAAAGGAACACATCTGTGCACGAGGACAGAGCTCTTTCAGTTTAGTTGTTGCTGGTTTTCTTCTTTTTCTTTCTGTTTTACCTTTGCAGTTTTCTGAGGACAGGACTAGAAGCCACTGGCATGTTTTAGCATGAATCACTGTGTGAGAAATACTTCCTATTGTCAAAATGCAGTGTGCTGAACACCAATTATGTTTAATAGGTATAAAAGACATGCAGTATCTTCTGGACTCCAGCTTCTAATGGCAGGGAGGGTTCTCAATACTGACTTAGAAAAATAAATTGCATAAATGGAAATGGCAGCACCATCCCTGTGGTTTTGTTATAGAAAAGTAAATGGAGATGAAAGGGTTGAGCAATTCTTTTGAATATGAAAATTGCTGTAGAAGATGAAGCCAGTGATAAATTTGTTACATTTTATGCGAGCATTCAGATAAGAACCTCAAGGAAAGATATTAAAAATTCAGATTAGGAATAGCTTTGGTATAATTTCTCATTTGAGAGAATGTTACTTTTTGCATTCCACGTGAAGTTTAAAAGGTTGTACTCTAAGGCTAGCAATAGCCAGTCAGGCTGAAAAAAATTCAGACGTGTTTGTACAAGGAGTTCTTGCGCAGCTTCTGCTGAAGCCAGTGAGTTCTACGGATGAAAGATGTATAGGGTGGAGCACACCCCTTCTCACCTTTTTTTTGTTCCTTCTTTTTTTGTTTTCCTTCCTGTCTCAAGAACACCAAAAAAGTGATTCTGGTCTCACTTATAATTTGAAACAAAATCAGATTGACCATCATTATGCTGTTGCTAACATAAACCCTGTTTCTTGTATGACTAAACTCCCAATAGGCAAACACCATCTGCCTGTTGAGAGACAGGAGAAGTCACCACTCAGACAATGTCTAACTCATTAGGAGCTGAGAAACATCAAGTCAACTACAAAAGCTATGTATCAATATCCTTAGAAATCTCTAACCTAACCCCATATTCAGTGCATTTGTTGAAATTCTTCCTTTTGATACTGAAGACATTTTCCCCTATTAAACTGAAGAGTTTTTGAACAAAAAGTTTTTCTCCAGAGCCAAGTTCAGATCAGGTGCCACTGCGTCAAATTTTACTGACTTCCTTGAAACAGTATATGGTCTTGGGAAACTGTCTTACAGCTAAGAACACGGAAATTCAGATTGTGATAGAGCAGCGTAAATAATAGTGGCACATCAGTTTACCCTTGCAGGAATAACGAGTATTGTTTACTGCTGTAAAATGTTTCGTAAGTGATATTTCTCCACAATATCAACAGGAACTTAGAAAAAGCTGTGAATTTTTTGCAGGCATTTAAATTCCATCAAGTTCTAAGAGACACATCTTTGCTTTGGATTTTATTCATGTAAATAAAATAACTTTTTAAAAATTGTGTGTTTATATCTGAAATAATAGTTGTGTACTCTCTGGTTTAGTAAAGTACTATACTTTTGCAAGTTAACTCTTTTTTCTTCCTGCTCTAGAATTATATTAAAATTTTATAAATCAGATAAGAACAAATGGATAGCACACGAAGGAGCTAGGTTAGCTACTTTAAAGTACGTGTAAAAATATGTTTCTTTTACAAAATACAGCTGCTTCCTAGCAGGACTGCACAGTCATTTCAATAGTTATGAAAGGTGGATGTTTCCACTTGACTGGTGCCAGATCCGTCGGTATGGAAAGTCATTGCCTGGGGAGAGGTGGGTAGCAGCAGGATTCCTCCAGAAGAGCTGTCCAGCACCAGTTGTGGTGCCTTCTGTTTTCTTCAGCATCTCCCAAGGGAGAAGCGTCACGCTGAGCTGCCTTGGATACCTTCTGTGAGATCTCAGGTGTAATTGGAGTGTGTGTGTGATTTTGAGTCTCATCGGGGAGGTAGAAACTTTTTTTAAGCACTGACTGTGCAACATCTGGAAAGCAATTTCTACTTGACAACACCGATCATCATCTGAAGAGTGCAGTGGGTGTGCAGCGCAGCCACTTTTAACTGCATACTCAGACTGATTTACAGCCTTTGTGATGTGATATTTTGCTGGCATTTTATGGTATTGCGGGTCCATGAAAGAACAACAAGCTCTGTTAGCAAAACACATGGTGGTGTTACAGGTGGATATCTCTGATTCATGATGCTGGAGCAAAGGAATGCTTTAATACAACCCAATTGTTAGTTGTCAGCATGAACGTACATTTGTCTTGATGGTTCTGAGCCAATATTTCCAGCAGAAACTGAGAGATCTGTATTTGACCATTAAAACTGAGAGCAAAATTACAGAGGATTACGTGGAAGTAGGAAATCAAAGCATGCAGTGGTACGTGTAATCATGAAATACTTTCCAGAGATGTCCATGGCAACCAAAAGTCATAACTTTATGGGATGACAAAAATCTCAGTAGAGATCTCAATAGAAATATTGGCTTTACGGCAAATTACAATTCCTCTGCCCTCTCGCCTAACCTTTTCATGTTCCACAGGATATAAATTACTGCTCTCTGTCTTTCCACTAGAAGATAAGCACCTTATCACCTCTCCTCTTTTTCTGACATCCTTATCACTCCACAGGCAGTAAGCATCTTTACTCTCAGGGGGTCTAATTGATACATATCTAATTAAAGGTGAAACATCTTTTTCTCAACTTGCGTTCAACTTTGAAGTATGTTGCTTTGATTTCAGACCTGAAGAACAGCTTCATGTGCCTGAAAGTTATCCTTTTTCCAACTGCACTAGTTGATCAAATAAAATGTACTACCTCTGTCCACAGACTTCGCCTTGCCTGTGTACCAGTGTATTCATTTATTGTTAGTGGAAAAGGGAAGGCAGTTTTTCAGGGAACTAGTTAAAAAGTATGGATGAGGACCGGGGCTCTTCAGAGCCTTGAGGGTTAGGATATTAGCAAGAAAAAAAATTTTAGGTTTTATCTCTTAGATGAGGACATTTTGTGTGAAAGAGGTACCAGAGAAAGCTGAATATGTACTATAAGGAATGATCATTCTAATGAAAAAAAAAAGTGCACCATCAATTCTCACCAATTAAAAGCAGGAAGGAGAGGAAGAAACGTTATGTGCATAACACAGAAATTTCCAGACACCTCTAAGTTGCAGAGCCAGGTACCTACACAGAGATTTACTGATTTTTTTAAAATATTACATCTCAGTGATCCTATTTCGTATGGTTTTGTTTGGTAAGTCTGTCTTATTGGCAGTTGTTAATAAGGTCTGTGATGGTTTGGGGTTTTTTTCCCAGCTAATTGCTCTTTTGATTTGGGCTTTTGGGGCTTTTTAAACGTGATAGGATTGCTGTTTCTAATATGCAATAACCACAAGAATCTCAGAGAGTTTTCTGAGGTCAGACTGTCACTATGCTTTTGTTTGCTTGTGCTGAGCTAGTACTTGGCAGCTTGTGTGGTAGCTCAGCCATTCTCTAAATTAACAGGTTGTTCTTTGTATTTGAAGTGATTGATGTGATTGAAGTGATTAGCATGTATGTGCCTAAATAAATTATTCTTGGGGAGAGAGGGATCCAAATGGAGAAAACTGGATAGGTCCAAAGACGGTTTGTTGTAAGAATCACAGAATCACAGAATCACAGAATGTTAGAGATTGGAAGGGACCTCGAAAGATCATCCAGTCCAATCCCCCTGCCGGAGCAGGACACCTAGATCAGATCCCACAGGAACGCATCCAGGCGGGCTTTGAATGTCTCCAGAGAAGGAGACTCCACACCCTCTCTGGGCAGCCTGTTCCAGTGCTCTGTCACCCTCACTGTAAAGAAGTTTTTCCTCATATTCAAGTGGAACCTCCTATGTTCCAGCTTGAACCCATTGCCCCTTGTCCTATCACTAGATGTCACAGAGAAGAGCCTGGCTCCATCCTCCTGACACTCACCCTTCACGTATTTATAAACATTAATAAGAACTATGATATGTTCACGAATGTGGAAAGGACTTAAACCAGAATAAAATCTCAGACCAGAAAATGTATGGGAAAGTACAATTTTACTCTAAAGTCTTTGCTAATGAAGGTTCAGGGATATATGTTTTGTTAATGCTTCTCTGGAGGCAAACGCCCTGGTGTAGATGCAGACACATTGAAAAAAAATCAGTTGCCGGTACAACAATTTGTTTGTGATAGCAACGTGATAGCAACATGATAGCAACGCTGGGTCAACCCTCCTGGATTCTGGCTTCCTAATTAACTCAAGAGCCTATTGAGAAAGAATCATTTAAGTGCTTAAATTAATAATATTGCCAAATCACTCATCTCAAACTTCTTTTTCAAAAGACTTAGTGTCTACATCTGTTTTTTCGTTAGAGCTGGTGCTTCTGTTTCTGAATCTCTTTACACGGCTTCATTATGTGGCATCCTGTTGGCACGACAGGAGGATCCTGTGTCCACTGAATTTTTAGTGTTCACCTGCTGGTTAAAATCCCTTTGCACATCAGCACGTGGAAGCAGTAGATTAATTGTTTATTTATTCTTAACTTATATATTTACAAATGCAGTCTATTAACTGCTCTGATTCTTTACATCTGTATACACATTTTTTCCACAAGTGATGGCCTGCACTTAAAAAGGTAATGGGAGGACCCCGACTTGTAGGTCTAAATAAGCTGCAAAATACTGGCTTTCACCCTTGAACTACCTTGTATTTGCACATACTGCTATCTCATTGTATGCCGTTGACTTTTGAACACACCTGTACTAGATAAAGCTAAAACATTGTTCTTGGTTTTGTTTTGCAGTACAGAATTGGACAGCTGTACATGATCAGCAAGCACAGCCATGAGCAGAGTGACCGAGGTGAAGGTGTGGAAGTGGTGCAGAATGAACCCTATGAAGATCCAAACCATGGCAATGGTCAGCTAACAGAAAAACGGGTCTATCTCAACAGGCAAGTGCAGTAAAATGGTTTCTCTCAGCAAGGGCTGTAATAAAGGAATATCCCTTCTAGGCAATAGCCTTTCTGTTTCAAGTACAACATGTTCCCATGAATATATGTTGCTTCCTACTAGCCGCAGGAAGAAATAGAAAGATTAGTTGTAATTTCTTCTGGAGTATCTTTTCTGAGAGAAAGAATGATAACTTAAAGTTAAGGATGTACTGAAAATCAGAACAATTCGAGGTTTTTTTACACTTAACTGTTTGTCATTCTATTTTCCAAAATTATGGAGGGAGGGGGAAAAGAAACAAACAAACGAACAAAAAACTAAAAAGCTAAACCAACAATCACCTCACCTTCAATAAACCCCCAAAACAAACCACTAAAATGATTTAAGAGTTTCTCACTTCATGATAATGAAAGCCAGCACCCCATTTTTGTTGAGAAAAGATTTGCCTCAGCAAGGTTAATTGACATTATGAGTTACCATTAGGTTGTACAATGATGACCTTCTGTACCAAAATAATAGGCTTAAAGACATGATGGAAAAAATTCATTTTGTTTCCCAAAAGTTCCACCATTTCTTAAAGTGAAATATTTCTCTTCCTATGGTGAAGTTATACAGAGGGTCAATGCCTCCACACTCAAAGGCTGGAGATGTTTTAAAATATATGTATTTGTGTGTGTCCTATGAAATATATTGCTCAATCTGTTCCCGTTTTTACTACTGCTGATCTAATTGAATATCGCTGCTTTTCTGATGTTCTTCTATTCTCCTGAGCCTGTTTCGTTTTATTAAACTTATGCTCCAGCATCTCATGGCTGGGGCATAGGAACACTATAGCTATTGCTTCTACGTTGCAAGTTACTCCTTCACTGCCATCCTGACATATCTAACCTTAACTCGGGCTAAACTAAATCACCAGTAATGTTGCACGCACACACACACATGAGTCCAATAATCTTGCCAACATTTAATATTACTGTGATAGTAACTGTTCTCTCACAGGCCAGATACAGGAGTTGGGAAAAATCAATAAATGTGTTCCTGTTGTAGAGCTCCCAGAAGTTTGGGGGTTTTATGTTTCTGGATATTTCTTTCCTTCAGGTTGAAAAGAGATAAGGCTTTAAGCACTGAAGAGCATATTCAGAATCACTGCTTTAGGGTAATCCAGTATAACCGCAAGGCCTGTGTCCTAGAAAGCATGTACAAGACATACTTGGGAAGCATGTGGTTTCTGGGAGCACAGGCCATGGAACATAGGATCTCTTACCCAACGATGGGTACGAACGTTGACAAAGAATATCTGTGTGCCTACAACAGATTGGGAAGTTTGCCTGAAGCTACGGTGGATATTTGAAGTCAGGCTGACTGATAATTCTGAATACTCCTTGATAACTATAACCAGATTTGCTAGTTGAATCTGGTTTTGGTGTCAATACCATACTGCAGTACTATTAAAGCTTTGTGGAAAGGATCAGCAGGTTTTCAGGCAAGTATGGATTTTGCTGGGAGGCCAGGACCTGTCTGGAAGACTTCACCCAAGGAGACATGCTGCCATACACAATGTGCTGAAAACTTCTCCTCTGCCTGCCTTCCTTGAGAAACAGGACTCCTTACACCAGCACAGATCTCTCTTATCTTTTCTTCTTCCAGAGTCTACCACCCTAATAAACTTACTGGCTTTGCTTCACTTTGTCTTGCTCTGGACTGATCTCTCCTGAAGAAAATTGAGCTTATACATTCAGTGATGGTTTCTTGGAAATATTTGTTCATTATTTTCTTATCTTTTCTTGCCTGCTAATGCTTTAATTCCTGCAGAGGGTTTTCTTGCTTGCCATGGTTTCAGCTGGAATGCCTTTAAGAAACTATTCATCCCTATGTGCTGAAAGACTGAACTTCATCCAGGGAAGGAAGGAAAAAAAAAATCCCCTTTCTTTCTCTGAGTGGACCCTTGGAATAATTCATGTGTGTCTCTGACTGTGACTTGCTGCCAACTCTGAGCATAACGTGTGTTTTGCTCGTAAAATTATTTGTTTTGGAGATGTGCTGTACCGATGAAGATAGGCAGACAGGCAAATAAACTAAAAACAGCAATAAAAAGAAGCCAACTGAGCAGCTGTATGTTTACAAAGACGTTACTGGTAAAATTTTCTAGTGTAGTGTAAGCCTTAGTTGTATTCAGAATTGTTTACTGCCTCTTCTCTCCTGCTGCAGCATTGTTTCCAGGAGCTGAAAGTCTGCACCCTCTGGTATTTATTATTTATGCATCAGAGTAAAGTTTAGCAGGGGTACAGGAGGGAGCAGAGAGATAGTCAGAAAAAGACACTGACAGGGGCTGGCAAAATAAACAAGAGATCTGATACAGTGAAGTCTATTATGCAGTATGTAAAATGCTGCTTATAGACTATACAAAGGTTTATGTAAAGAAAATAATCTGCTTTTGAGTAATGTCATCAAAGAGCAAAAGTCAGTGCACTTGACATTGAATCTTTAGATAATGTCCTAACGTTTGCTTTTTGCCTCTGGACAAATACAGTATTTATGTGTAGCGAGATCATGGTTAAATAAGCCTTAATGATCCAAACTCAGTATTTTCTTCAGAAATTCACTAATATGGAAAGTTAATTTTTTTTCTGCACACAGTTATCTAAACATAACTGTTTCAAACATTTACACTTGGAAAATTGAGGTTTGAAAGCATCTAACTTAGTTCAGTAAAGATCCATTCTTAGGCTGGGTGATCTGCTCGACACATCGCCAGACTAATGATTTTAACCAAGTCCCCGAAGTACAGTGAGTTTGTGGGCTCCAAAGGTCAGCCTTCCTTTTGGTGACTAGTACTGCATCTTCCTACTGGCAGCTCCAGTGATTCTAAGTGATGTTGTTAAGAAGGAGTTGGAAGATGAAGTCTCACGAACTTGCCTTTTTCCAGTGTATCTTTGTTCATCACTTCTTTGGTACCCTGAGTGACCAGAGTTCTGGAAATGAAACACCCAAGATCCGTGGTAAAGAAAATGCTCCCACCCTTCCATAGTATTATTTAATTACCCTTCAATGATCTTTCCATGTGCTGCATCCATGTCTTTCATTTCTTATTCTCCTGCTGTTGTACCCCTGCACTGGTAAGTTCTGTTGACAGACTGAGCTCTGAGCTGTGACATCCGTTCCATTAATTGTCTTCACTTTTGGGGTTTGCTTTTCCCATCAGCAAAATGGAATTATCACTACCTACTAGGCTCACAGGGGTGTTCTGAGTGATTTGTTAGTTTTAATAAAAAAGCTTCCTACTCAAGAGCTGGTGTTGGTAGTGAAGGGAAAATGGTGTGCTATGGGAGTTGAACATAAGGGTTTGTGTGCCAGCAGAGAACATGGAGGAAGAAGAAATAGTCTTTAAGAAGAAATAATGGAATCGGGTGGAAGTGGACCGACATCACGGATTTCCTCATGGCCTCTTGTTAGAGAGTGCCTCCCTGTGGTTAGGGACACTGTGACACACTTACACCTCGTGTGGTCTGTCCTGGAGAGTTCATCAATGACCAAAGGTTTGAGGCCATAAATTCTTGAAGTCTGCAACCTCAATTTAAATCTGATCAGAGGTTATTTCAGCAGCACCGTATTGCTCGCTCTGCGAGGGGAACGGACAGACTTGCTTTCATTTCTGCTTGGGGAGCCAGCTGAGGCAGAATGCGTAGTCAGGAGATGAAGATGCTGTTGTGAAGTCTAGGGATTGCTGCATCCTGTGAAACACCTGTCAGATGATGAGCACCTTCGGAAGTATCTTCTTTTCTGCAATACTCATAACATACTCTAATTTTATATTTTCTTTTTGTTTTCAGCAAACTTCCAAGCTGGGCTAGAGCAGTTGTTCCCAAAATATTTTATGTTACAGAGAAGGCTTGGAATTATTATCCTTATACAATCACAGGTAAGGAATAAAGCAGAAATTATTACTGACTTGTACTTTTTGGGTAGTTTACCTTATCTTCACAAGCTCCGAGTTACATGTCGAGCCACAGATACGAAGTTACTTTAACATCTCCTATTGAACTGCATATGTCTTTCCATCTTACGTTGAGTGATATCAGGAAATAAAGATTATAGACTATAGATAGGTAAAAACTGGAGTGTTGTATCTATGCAATTGCTTCCTTGCAAAGCAAACATCAGGTGCTTAGATTCTGTGCTGACTTGCACCCTTTATTGTCCCATAGACTTTAGTCAAATATAAATCAACAGATTATCTGACACAATTTTTAAAATTATTAATGTATGTTTACTGTAAGGATCTTGCATCATTGTTTTATTTCACGTTTCTTTTTTTTTTCTTTTCCCTCATCATTCTTTTTTTTACAAATGGACAATTGGAAATCAGAATACACAGTAAGTTTTTCTTCCTCTTTTTATTCTAAAAATAGAATAATTATGTGAATTATAGTAGTGGAATCCAAACTGATACCTTCTTAATATAGCTAATAAATAATGCATTCAATGGTGGAACTTTATTTTAGCTATTTATTTAAGATTTTAAGGTTAAATTTGAAATGTTTCTGTGGGGATCCTGTAAATTATTTACCTTATTTTTTATCCCTTCAAAATAATTGGTTATATTTTTAGTCACCAACTGTAACAAAGAGAAGCTTCTATAAAACAGGGCAAAGCTTTTAAGGTTCCAGTTATTACGTGGAGACATGAGAACAGGTTTTATTTTATTTATTGTTCTATTAACTTCTAAAACGCTCATCTCTGGTATAGTGTCTGGGAAACTGTACAATCTGAAGACAAAATTAAACATAATCTGGGCACAGTGCCCAGAAAAATCAACTATTCCCTCTAGCAGAGCTAAGGCAAAATATAGCAGTAAATCCTGAGAAAAATTGTTTTAAATGTACTGGCCTCAATGATATACAGTAAGTTTTCAGCAACCTTTGGAAGATGAGGAGAACATGGTGAGGAAGTTCCAGGTAAAGGGACCTTTCAGAAACTCCTGTCTTGATGTAGTTTGAACTTCTGATTGTAGATAAAACATAATCCACCTGTTCTCTTCACTCTGCAGTGCTCAAAATGTTTGTGCAGGTTTTTTTATAAACCAGTAAAGAATATGGAGAGGAAAAAGATTTTTAATGTGATAAGTGTGAAAATGAAAAAATGAAGGGATTTAAAGGCTCAGATCTGAAAGCTGGGGATTTAGAGTTGAACCTGTGGTGACCAGGTTTGAAAATCCAAAGTACCAAACTGTCCTTTTCAAGACATACTCTTTTCGGTAGGTACTTACTGCATGTTCTGCTTTGTTTCATGTTAAAATTCATTTGATTGTCAGAGGAAACCCGAATGTCCCGTAATGGACAGTAATGGGACAGATTCTCAGCTATGTTTGTCAGAATCTATCTTCAGTAGGGCCTATCACAGTTTACATTAATTAAGGGTTTACACTTCCGTAGCAGTTTTAATCTTAGGCTGGGAAGATGACATGCTGTGTTGCATTGATGTCTGTTACTTACACTCTGTAGTATATTTTTTCTTTAACTGAAAGTCAGTTTGAATTTTTTAATGTGATTTTTTTTCTTTAACTGAAAGACACAAGTAAGAATGATTAAAGGGATGTCAGCAGACAGAAATATATTTCTGAATTGGAAATGCAATACATTATCAAAACCGAAGAGCAATGCTGTACTCACAGAATTTGAATCAGGAGGCGACCTTCATCTAATCTGATGAGGAACACCTCGAATGCATTTCGGTGAAGGTCTGTAGAAGGTATACAGCTACAGAGGTATTCCAGAGCAGCAGCGAAAATGATTGCAGAGTTGAAGAGACTTGTAAAGAAAAATTAAATTGGTCTACAAATGTAGAAAGTAGGCAAAACAGTCACTAAGTGACAGTATAACTGCCTAGGGGAGCTGGGGACTAATTACTCACCATGGTGCAAGGAAACAGAACTAGAAATATTGGGATGAGATTAAGGAAACGGTGCTTCAGACAAAAATCTAAAATATATTTTAATGGAGCTGACAGACTATGAAATGATCTTCAAGGGAAATAGAGAAAGTGCCTTCGCCTCAAACTGTTGAATCTAGAACAAAAATGTTAAATATACCACTGGGAATAATTCCTATCCTTGTCTGGAATATTTCTCTAAATTTTGGTCTCCTATATTCATTAGAGAATTCTGAAAGAAAGAATAAACCCACAGGCATTGCCCAAAATATGTAAGATAGCCTGGAAACCCTTTTCTTAAAGATAGTAAGTTCCCTCCAAAGGGTCTGTGGGACATCCTAAGAATTAAATTGAGCCTCATTTCAAGGAAAACTGATTCGAAAGGCAGCCCAATAATTGGATAAATAAAGCATATTTTATCAAGTACATACTGCGATGTGGTATGTTCACATCTTACTGAACCTCATAAATTGCACTCTAAATAAAGAGCAAGGACCTTAAAAGCCCAGTAGTGTTATTTCAGCGTATGTTAATGATTTGGAAGAGGATGTGAACAACAGACTGAACCTTGCTGATAGTCTTAAGTTTTTTCAGTTGTGAAGAATGAAGGCTGTTGAGGAATTGCATTCAAGCACGTACACTAGCATCCAGAGAGTCAATGCAGAATAATTTCATCAATCTGTTTTTCCTGGGAAGTATTATGGATTTCATAAATTTAACCTTCTTAAGCACTTGAAATTAGGAAATTTTCTAAGAAAAAAAAACTCGTCAGGCATTGAAAATAATTTCCAGAATATTGGAAAATATAAAAGTGATGCTTTTGTGGTGTGTAGTATGTGAAATACTGTCATGTCAGGGGAGCACGTTAAAACATACACTGTGCTGTTCCTGGAGGAGGGCGTCATTAAAACTGCAGTACAAGAGACTTCCTATCAGGAAGATGAGACATGGATAATGTCCGAAGAAATGCTGCATCGAAGCTTGAGCTAGTCCTTGCAAGC